TTTTTTTTTCTCTCTCAGTGGAGAACCCGAGCTGGGTTCTCACCAGAGAACGCTCGGTGGGAACCCGACCTGGGTTCTCACCAAAGAAATTTTGATTTTTTTTTTCTTTTGGATGGATGGATTTGGTGAAATGCTTGAGTTTTCCTGGGATTTGGTTGTTGAATATGCTTGAAGGCTTGAATTTTGCTGGGATTTGGTTGTTGAATGTGCTTGAATGCTTGAGTTTTGTTGGGATTTGTTCCGTGGGAAATAGATTTAGTGAGAAAGGTAAATTTATAATTTTACTGTTTAAACCAATTTGGATGTAAAAATGAGTGTCGGTTCATGAGTGTACATATCACTATCCTATTCCCTAATGGTTTTTTAATTTAGAATCCGTTTCAAATTAATTTTAATTGTTTATATTTTAAAAGAAAAAATATTTTTCCTTTATTTTAACTCTATCATTATTGTAGACAAGAAAAAACCTATCATTATTTTTCTACTTTTATCTCTTCATAAATGGTCAAATTGATAAAAATACAAAGGTAATACAAATAAATGATTTGTCTAACTTTTACCCTAAAAACATATGTTATGAATTTTATTTTTATATCTTTTTATAAAAATTTATTACAAAATATTAATACATTTTAACATGTGTCTTTATAAAAAGTCATAAATAAAAATACGAATTATCATTAAGTCTTTATGTAAAAAAAAAAAAAACTAAAAAAAAAAAAACTAATAATACTATTTTGACACGAAAAGAATGAAATGAAAAAGAAAAAAATTAATACAAGACAGAACGACAGATATTTTGGGGACCGAGAGAGCATTGTTTAAGCTGGCAACACTTACTGATGGGACCATTTATACTTGCAACTCTGTAAGATTAATTGATCTCAAATTTCAGATACCTGTGTTATATATAAGAGCAACAAGATACAGGTTTAGCTGCAGATCCAATAAAAACGTTCCATTTGGACACGATCTAACAGTCCAAAAAGACAACCTTGTTAACGAACAAAATGAAGGACAGTTAAGCAGGCAGTTGATCACTTCATGTCCCTTTCTCCATGCTAATCATGGTTGTGCATACAGACACAGTGCAAGACCTCATGATTCTTGATTGTGAACCTCAGGACAGGACCACGCTATGATCATGATCATAGGGTGGTCCTCAAGTGAATGTGGTCTTTTTGTCCGTCTGATCGACACAGTAGTTAGGGAAAACAATTAACAATCACAGGTTGGTGGGGGGGTGGACCTGATTTCTGTAGCGTCTGATTTGGATCAGATGGTACCCCCAACAGAGATGGTCCACTCTCGACAACCCTGTTGTTAACAACTGTGTGAGCTGACCTAGAATTAGATGCCCTCCCACGCAATGGTCCATATTAATCTAACATCTATATATATATATATATATATATTCTAGCTCTTGCCTTCTTTTCACACCCTTTATGCAATTGATTGGTTATATTCAAATTAATGTCAATAGTGTTATCTTAATCACAAGTTCTTGTCAATTGTGTTAGGAATTATGTGGATTACAACTCTGAACCAAGCTTTCTCGAGGTTTAATAGTTCATTTTCAAGTTTTATTACTTGGATAGGATTAGCCTGGAGTTTAAGTCCCACCAATACTTGAAAATTTACACTAAACTTATGGATAATTGGTACTTCTCTCAACCCATAAGCTAGGCCCATTCCCTTCCCCCTTTCCTTCGAATTGCCTTTGTTCAAAAAAAAAAAAAAATTATATCTCTAGTAGCTGAAATTACATTAAATTTTACATTTTTCTTTAACTCTTTTTATTAGATTTATTTTTAACCTCTTGATATGAGATTCTCCTACTTTGAAAAGTTGGAAAAGAAAAAAAAAAGTAGAAAAATAAACTCTCACCCTTAATTTAATAATAAGGTTTTGAGTTATCACGCAAATCTTATTAAGGGTCCATTTGGGTTAGCTTATCAGAGCTTGTGCTTTTTTAGTACTGTTTATAAGTGATAAGTTTAAATTTTTATTGAAGGGAAAATTTAAAAGTTATTTTTAAAAATAAAAAAATAAAAAATTTATGAAAAACAAAAGTTTAAAACTTTTAAGATTTTACTGTTTATGATTTTTTTAAAGTTTAAAAAAATTTAAAAATGTAAGTTTAAAAAAAAAAATTTATGAAATATGTATAATATTAAAAAAATTGAAACTCCAAAAAAGTTAACCCAAACATGTTCTAAGTGTTGATTTTATCTTACTTTTAAAAAGACCTTCTTTATTGTAAAAATTAAAGTTAGAGTAAA